CTTGGGCTGGAATGATTTAAATGCACCAAAAGAGTCACCTTCGCTTTGCATCGTTGGTTGAAGGTCAAGAAGTCAGTGACCCTTTAGTAGCTGCTGACAATCATAGGCTAGGCTATGTATAGCCCAGAACCGGGCAGACCAGTTTTTAAGGCACTCTGTGTAATGCTTCTAAGTAAATATTATCAGAACAAGCAGATCAGCAATAGCTACTCCTGCAGACTCCAACGCAACCAGCTGCAGCCCCTGCAAGGACAAAGGCAAAAGGTTCCATTCTGCTTTGTCCCTCCAGGCATCTCTTATTCTTTCAGAGTTTTCATACATGACAAAGAACATCAAAACAGAAAACAATTACCTTCCGCATGCATTCCTTCCAGTATTTCATTCTCTTGGGATTAGCAGGAAAGAGTTAGAATTTTGAAATAGAATTGCTACCTGCCTTTGCAGACACCAGAGAGATGTCAAAACATGGGGGATTGTGAAGTGCTTTCTGGGGGATGAGCACAATGGAAAGGATTTCGGTGCCTGTTGGTGAGGATTGGTAAAGTAGCAGCAGCCAAACTGATTCAGATACTGTATATGAAGCTTAGGACAATAAGGTTGTCAAATTTAGACAACAGGACAGTGGCTTTGAAGTTGAGAACATCTCAATTCTTTGCATGTAGGCACATTCTCATTGTTATTTCTTCAGCTGCGCAACAGGAGAGTCACACACAAAAGGGACATACACACACACACAAACGCACACATACACACAGAGGAAGTCATGATATTGCTGCCTCAATTCTTTGTGAATTACTCTTAGGAAGCTGCCTTATGCTGAATCAGACCATGGCATTGGTCCATCTAGCTCAGGATAATCTACATAGACCTGGTTCTCCGGGGTTTCAGGCAGACGACATTCCCAGCCCTACCTGGAGATGGTGGGGAGAGGATGGGACCTGGGGCCTTCTGCATGCAAAGCAGATGTTCTTCCACTGAGCCATGGCCCTTCCCTCTTGACACAAGTTCCGTACAAAGCACATGAGTGTCAGACAGACATGCTCATCCCGCCTCTTGTTTCCATCCACCACAGACCTACCTTAAGTGGGGAATGGAGCTTCGGGGAACAGAGCACAGAATAAAGCTGTGAAGTCAAGAGCTTTTGTGGACAACAGGATTCATCCGATGCATAAAGGGAACTGAGGGGGGTGGTAAGTATATATATGTGCAGTGCACACATAAGAACATAATAAGATCCTGCTGGATCAGGGCAATAGCCCACCTAATCCAGTATCCTGTTCTCACAGTGACCAGGCTGATGCCTCTGGGAAGCTTGTAAGCAGGACCTGAGTGCAATAGCAGCCTCACAACTTGTGATTCCCAACAACTGGTATCCAGAGCAATACTGCACCCACCAATAGTGCAAGCAGAACATAGCCATCGTGACTAACAGGCATTGATAGTCTTTACATCTGTGAATTTGTCTAATCCTTTTTCAAAGTCATCCAAGTTGGTGGCCATTGCTGCCCTTGGTGGGAGCGATTTCCATTATTTAACCATGTGCTGTGTGAAGAGGCACTTCCTTTTGTCTGTTTCGAATCTTCCAACATTCAGCTTCATTAGAGACCCTCTGCTTACGGGCTGAGAACACCAAATTAACAACGTAAGAACTCAGGATGCCCAAAGGAACAAGTCGCTGCCTGATAGCTGGAGCCTAACTTCAGGACACATTCTTCAAAAATATAAATAATTACTGGCATGGCTGAGATAAAGAGCAGTAGCTGTTTGCAGAGATGGAACCTCCTTGGTTTTGTTGAATTTCATATTCAAGCAGCAATTTGCCTCCAACAGGAAACATGGCAGTATGCCAACCTGCCCAGAACCTGTAAGTCCCCAGCTTGTTTGAACTAGGCAAGAAGTGCATTTTTTTCCCACTGAGAGAGATAAGCAGCTGAAAGAGAACCCAGGGTACATGCATGTCCGTTTCCTCCATTCATTTCACTGGTAAATCCAACATCATCCATCGCTAACCTGGTGCCCTCCAGAATTTTTGGACTGCAACTGTTATCAACCTCAGTCAGCAAACAATGGATGGGGTGATGGGAGTTGTAGTCTAAAACCTCATCTCAACACCTGCCTGCCCAAACTCCAAGACAGGAATTGGGAACCTGTGGTACTCCAGATGTTGGACTACAGCACCCATCAGCTCTGATCATTGGTCATGCTGGCTGCTTAGAGTTTAAGTCCGACAACATTTGGAGGACACCACACTAGATACCCCACTCTAAGACCTTCAGCAGAGGCTGTCCTTTGGCTGCCCAGTCATCTAAGGTGTGTCAACAGGCTGCAGGGGAAAGGGCCTTCTTGCTGGTGGCCTCCTGACTGTGCAATGCTCTCCACAGGCTTCACTGATGTCTTTTCAGTGCTGCCAGTCAAAGCCCCCCCTTTCATTCTGGGCTTTTTAATTCCCTTTCATGCCGCTTTCATGTCACACACATCCTGTCTCTTTTAGTTCTGATAGCTTTCATATCGTGGCGTTTTTGATGTTTTATATGTATTGTAGCTTTCGCATTTGATTCCCAAAACCCTTCAGTGGGTTTCTAGGTAAAATGTCTACTGCAGCTCTTCCTGCCTGCCCCAAGCCTTGAGATGCATGCAAGAGCATAAATGAATGTGTGTGTGTGCATTAGTTATGCGCATCGCTGGTGGGAACGTATCCTCTGCTGCATTTCAGAGAAGCCACAAAGGGAGCAGCTTTGCAGTGATTCAATACACAATTCTCTCATCACCTGCCAGTGTGGCTGGTGACTGTGAGATGCTAAGCACCCAAACATTGATGTCCCTGAGGCCACACAGGGCCTGGCTCACCCCTTGGGGCCAAAACACTTCCCTACCCTGGAGACAGATAACAAGGCGGAATCTATAGCTCTTAAACATCTACACCTGCCTTGCATGGATGTACTAAACGATGAAGGCAAGCAGCGTGACTCAAGCACTGAATGGCTTGTGTTTATGCTAGCACATGAGAACACTCCGCAAATTGCAGCAGATTTGTATTGGCCGTTGGTGTAATTACACACATCATAAACATACCAAGGATGTGAAGTGTGCCCTTGGGAGATACTTTGATCTCTTTGCTCACACATGAAAGATAATCCAGGACTTACTACAATCCAGGATCCCCACCCAGTTTGCAGGTGCACAGGGAAGCTTAGACTTTGGACTTGCGTGACAGCAGGCAAGTGGGGGAGGGGTGGGGCAGGGAAGAGGTTTGCTTGAAAAGAAAAGCATGCAAAGAGGTTGGGTAACACATAATAAAATTATAAAATTAATTTGGATAAGGATTTGTTAATATGCTGCTATATTGTCATGTTATCACAATACGTATAACTTTAATTTCCAAATAAAACAGTGTTAAAACTTTTAGAAAGGAAAATGTTCTTCTACAGCAACGTGTGGGCGGTCCAAGACATTTTGCTGCCTGAGATGGCCAGGATTGCACCTCCCCGCCCCCGCGTACAAAAGTCAACCAGACTGACAGCTTTCTTAGATTTCCACAATTGCACTCAAGGGAGCAAGTTAGTTTAAGCAGGCTGTAGGGCACACACAGTTCTGCCCACTCCCCACCCACTCCATAGCATTTGCCACCTGCGGTAGTTGCTTCAGCTTCCCTCATGTTAGTGCTGGCCCTGGGACAGCCTTGCAGTGCTTAAGGCAATCGCAACATACCTGGCGGGTCTTCCATTAGGAGGCTTGTTTGGTTTGGTTTTAAAGCATGATGATGTTGTATCTACTTTCCTCAGTTTAAGTGCCTTTCACCTTCAAGTGGAGACCCCACACACAATCTTTTGATTCATAGAAGTGAGAGCATGTAGAAAACAGTCCCTTCAGCTTGAATTAATTCTTCTCTGCTTCTCAATTTCCTTTCCAAAGAATTAAGTTTTGTCTGTTTATAAGCAAGGATCAGCAGGAACACAAAATGCACAGAGACCCACTCCTACAAAACAGGACGTCCTCATATGCCACCACATCTGACAGATTGATGCCTTGAGGATTCCCTCTGCCTCCTTGGGAACAGGCTGCTTTCAGGCTCCAAGAAAACAGCTTTAAGTTAGCACATGGGGAGAGGCTGGACCCATCCACAATTCACCTCCAGTTCTTCCCTTGAGATATTCAGAACCAACCAAATTGTTAAAACCTTTTGCCCTTCAGAAACAACAAGTCCAGGTTGTTGTTTTTTAATGGAGAGTCTTTGCATGCCCCTTATCTTGCCGAAGCAAGATTTCACTTCCCACCATAACACTTTTTTGTTTACTTCTGGAACACATCTTAGGCTCAGAAAAGGGGGGGGGGACTACACACACACACAAACACACACACAAACTCCTTAAATCTACCTCAACACACCAAAAGTTATCCCCCCCAATATATTTGTTTCCTGCTTAGATGTACTTGGAGGGCTTCACTATTATATTAGTAGATTCTAAAACAGGAATCACAAAAGCAAATCACCAATGAATACTTCCAGACTTTTTTTTTTTAAGGAAATGAGGGTAGAAGGAAAGGAGGGTATTAGCCCGGCAGTTCAGTTGTTGGCTCTTCCCTTGCCAAGGAATCGTCCCCCCCACCTCCCCGTAGAGCTCTGGACACACTCGCCCACTAGCCTCTCAGGTAGGGACCAGCAGGTGAAGAGGGGGGTGACTACGGGACACAGAAGCCCTCTTTGCTTCTCCCCGCCCCCCAGCACTCGCGGTGCGTTTAGCTCTTAGCTAAAAGCTCCCCCCCCCAACTTAATCCCTGCGGGCTGAGAAGACGGGGGAGGGGCCGAGCGCTCAGCCGCAGTCCCTCCAAAGCGCCTCCGTCCCTGAAGCTTTTTCCCGGACAGCCCAGCAAAAACCGACGAGAAGGTTGCTTTGCCCGAGTCCGGGGGGGGGGGCGCTCCCCTCGCTCCAGCCCCGCCGCCGCCCTTGTGGGTCGTTCGGCCCGGCTCCGTGGTGCCGCCCTGCTCGTGCCCCACTCACCGGCCACGCCGTACTCGCCGCAGGCGGAGACGGCGCCGTCCCGGTGCAGGCGGATGTCGGCGGTGTCGCGGATGCGCCCGGCGGGCCCCCAGCGGCGCGCCTCCTGCTCGGGCGCGCCTTCCTCGACGGGGCCGGGCTGCAGCAGCCCGCGGCAGCACTGGAAGCACACGGCCCAGGCCTGCTCCTCGTTGATGGGCTGCTCGTAAGACTTCAGCACCTCCTCCAGGGACAGCTCCGCCGGCTCCCCCGACGGCCGCTCCTCGGAGGCCGCCACCGCGGCCGGCGCGCCGCTCCCACCGCCGCCGCCCTCGGTTCCCGCCGCCGCTGCTCCTGCCGCCGCTCGGGCCATGGTGGCTGCTCCATCATCGGCTCCTCCGGCGAGGCGGGCTGGTTGCCATAACAGCGGCGCTGCTGGGCAGCCTGAGGAAGAGGAGGAGGACAAGGAAGGGGAGGGCTGAGCTGGGCTGGCCGCCGCCACGGCTGCTTTGTCATCCCTCCAGCCCAGCCCGCCGAGGAGGGAGCCCCGCAGCCGCAGCCTATGGAGGGGCCAGGTGCGGCCAGGAGGTGGGGAGACACGCCCCGCGGGCCCGCGCCCGGCTCCGCCCTGCGGAGGACAAAAAAGCCGAGGGCGCCCTCTCCCACGCTCGGCTCAGCTCCGGCACAGAGATTCAGCGCCAAGCCTCTGCCCTGAAGTGCTTCGAAGCAGTGCTTCTGAGCGCATGCAGAGAGTGGCTTTGTAAAAAAAAAAAAAGGGGCCTCTGAGCGCATGCGGCTACTAAAAAGTGCTCCTGAGAGCACGCAGAGCGCGTGCAGAAAGTTGCCTTTTATTTTTAAAAAAATGCCTCTGGGTGCATGCAGAGAGTGCCATTTTTAAAAAGTGTCACTAAGCACATGCAGAAAGCGACTTAAAAACCAAAATGCATCCAATTGGTCACTGTGGAAGCGAGTGGGTAAGATAAAAAGGTAAACGACCCCTGGACAGTTAGGTCCAGTCAAAGGTGACTATGGGGTGCTGCGTTCATCTCGCTTTTCAGGCCCAGGGAGCCTGCATTTGTCCACAGACAGCTTTCCAGGTCATGTGGCCAGCATGACTGAACCGCTACTGGAGCACAGAGGACCGTGATGAGTGCCAGAGCGCACGGAAATACCATTTACCTTCCCGCTGCAGTGGTACCTATTTATCTACTTGCACTGGCATGCATTCGAACTGCTGGGTTGGCAGAAGCTGGGACAGAGCGATGGGAGCTCACCCCATCATGCAGATTTGAACTGCTGACCTTCCAATCACACTGTGGAAGGGGATGGGAGGGACCAGGTATACCTTTGATGAGATCTAGTGGGGCTGCTCTTAAATAGCCAGAGAGCCCCCTTCACCCTCTTCAGTGTTCAATCAGGAACAAACTGATAATTTTGTACATGAGTGGAGCTCTATATATAAAGAGAGAGGAACACCAAGAAATCAATATGTTGAAAAGGGAACACCAAGGCTCAAAGGGGGGGAGGAGGAGGAAGAGAGCACATCTTTGGATCCCTGGATGCCATACAGATGTGGGGCGGCTGGCTGCAGCAGCTCAGGAGAATCACAGAGATTGAAGGGACCTCCAGAGGTCATTACTTCAACCCATTGCCCTGTGGAAGGCCTCTCATAGAGGATGCTGCTGCAGCACCCCTGACAAGTGGCTGTCCAGCCTCTGCTCAAATGTCTCTAGCAAAAGAAGAGTCCAACTCCCCTCCAAAGTATAAAGTGCACACATGGGCCAATAGCCTGTCCCCTGCCTCAAAAGTAGGGATGGAAAGACACTCTGCTCATGCTCTGAAGCACTAGTATATCTACCCATGTTTGAAAGAAGGGGTTTTAGAGCCTTTACCAAAGACTTCCGGGAAGCCCTTCTTTCCATCACCCTTCCCTTGCAAATTCCCAGCCACTGGGGGCTGCTGCTTTTTACAATGGGAGGCAAAACAGAGAACTGCCATCAAAGGCACACATAGCAACGCAACTCTACAGGATCCTGATGACCAAGTATAGTAATTTAATCCTAACCTAGTTAATCCCTTAAAGCATTCACAGGGAAGGGAGGGCTCTCTCCAAATAAATTGCATTTTCCTCTATCCAGCTCTTGCAGGTGCCCTTGAACAACCCTTCAGGAAATCTTTTTATTTTCTTTTATTCAGTGCACGAAAGGGAGGGCACATTACAACAGCCTTAGCAGAGGAGCTCCCCCTGCCCTCATACAGTAAACGCAGTAATTTGTTGTAGGGGGTTCAAGGGTCTTTCCCTTCACTGCATGGATGCCCCATTTTCCCCCAGCACTCCAGACGTTAATATTTTTGTTCCTCGGGGGAAAAGACATTTCTTACTCAAGCTGCTAGTATCTTAATTGCATGCTGTGCAAAATGCAGTTGTATGATACCTGAGAGCTGGCGACATCAATAGCAAGCAGTGGGGTGTGTTTGTGTGAGTTCCTGCGTGCAGGCACACCTGTGTCATTTTGTAACTTTTAGGAGTGGTTTTTAAAAAGAAGCCTAAGAGCAGGAGTGTTGTTGTGGAGCTCTAGAGGCCAGAAGCACTCCACTCATTATAAAACTGTCTCCACTCATTATAAAACTGTTCCTTTCCTTTAGGATCCTTTTGCTTCCCTTCAACAACTAAGAGTTATCTGAAAGCTGTGCACTTGCCCAAAATTATAGAAAACTGCAGCTGTGTAGCCTACACCCAAGAGAGAGCACTGCCAACTACCATCCCCTTAGGTTAGAGAGGGGCACACTTCCTCAGCCAGAGGGACCCATTCCCTTGCCAGGCAACCTCCCAAGGGCCAACTATGTTAATAGTTGGTGGGGCCAGGGGCAAAAGAGGGCCAGGAGATGTGGTGTGTGACTCATCTTTGCACAGTGGGTTACATGCCAGCTATGCAAAAGCCAGATTTCTACACCCCTCTTATGTGTCTCTCTAGCCACAAATGCAAAAGGCATTCCTGCAGTTCAATGGCACATTCTGACTAGGCAAAAGCACATAGTAGGAGGGCACAGAATAGCACTTGGGGGTGCATGGTTTGGGGAGGGTCCAGGACCAGAGAGAGAGAGGGAGGCCTGAAGGCCATAGACATTCCTCACTCCAGCCATAGATATTCATATGCAGTTTTAGGAGATTAGGAAGCTGCATCATACTGAGTCAGACCATTGGGCTCTCTGGCTCAGCATTGTCCACACTGACAGCTCTCCATGATTTCAGACTGGAACAAATTCCCAGACCGGCCTGGAGATGCTGGGAATTGAACCCAGGATCTTCTACATGCAAAACAGATGCTCTGCCACTGCACTGAGCTGCAGCACTTACTGATTAGGGAAAACAAGAACACACCATGGTCTGCAAGATATACATGAGATTTCGATAAATCCCACCTCTAAGAGCACTTGGGAATCATTTTCAGAATTTTAATTTGTTTTTCAAAAACTGTACTGTTTGCCATTTTGTTTGCTGCCCTTGGCTTCTTTGGGAGAAAGTGGGGGATAGAAATTGAAATGATGATAATAATCATAAACGGTTTACTGATGGGACCAGACTATTAATAGTTGGGAGCACAGGGAAATACAGGCATATGGAAATAAATAATTAGAATAAGCCAACAAAAAGCAAAGTCCTTTGTCAGGCAGAATAAGGAAGTAGACCATTGACTCTCTATGTAAAGCAAAGGTAGAGGAAAAGTAATGATGGCCAAACATGCTATCCAAAGAGCATTTGGCCTAGAACTGCATGATTACAGACTGCTAATGATGCTACATAACTCAAAAGTTTGTCTAGATAAATTGGCCCAGTAAAACATACAAGTAGGATGAACTTGGAAGCCAGCATTGCAACACTTTTCCATACCAGGTGGTTCTCCTGGGCTCAGCTGAAAACACAGTGTGATCATACATACATATTTTGTGGGTAGGAAGGAACACAGCAAAGTAACCACCATAATAGCAGCACATACCTATAGACTGCTCCATTCAAACTCAGTTTTGCAGATAAGCACCATACCCTCCAACATTCCTGGAGGGTTTGGAGCACCACCTCAAGTTGTCTCAGCTAATCCCTCCCATCAAAATGAAGGTAGGATATTAACGAGCAAATGAAGTTCAGCTGGTTAGCAGTAGCCAGGTTGGAATGAGGCCACCATTTTTAAAGAACCAGGCAGCACATGAAGTGTGAAGGTGGGCAAGTTAGAAGGAGCAAGAGTTGTACAGCTCTCCAATTTAAAAGCTCTGGGTGGTGGTCACTACAAAAGGAAGGTAGAAAGATGGTGCCAAATCCACCCATCTGAGAACTTGGGGTGCTGACAGGGAGGAGATAGGAAGTGGCTACTCCTGTAAGGAAGGCAAATTGCATTGAAAGACAAGGAACCAGATGGAAGCCTCATGTATCTGCTCCCAAGTAACCTTTTGCTATGGGGCCACTTGGGTGAAGTCTAGCCTCAGAGCTGCTTCACATATTATAAGATGACTGAATGTGCACATGTTTACCCATGGTGTGCCCCACAATGTATGAAGCGGCCACATAGGTAGAGCATCAGTCCAGCTTTGCACGCAGAAGGTCCCAGGTTCAACATCTGGCAGCTCCAGAGACCTCTGCCTGAAACCATGACGAGCTGCTGCTTCCAGACGTAGAGCTAGTAGACCAATGGTCTGGTTTGGCATATAAGGCAGCTTCCTGCGTTCCTATATTCCACCTTGCAGTCAAATGACCATCAGAGCTGTTGACAATATATTGTAATGATAGAAATGCTAGGGCCGTGGGCCATGGAGCTGACTGTTGCAGGGTGGGGACAGGGACTCCCTGCAACTGCTCTTTCTCCAGCCTATGGGTGGGGCTAGGCTGGTGATGTTCTGGGAGCTTCATGGTGTACATTGCCAGCAAACTTTGGTCTCCTAGCCAGCAAACATAGAGTTAAAGAATCAGAGTTGGAAGGGACGCTGAGGACCATCTAGTGCAACCTCCTGTAATTCAGGAATATGCATACAGGGTTCAAACCTGCAACCCTGGCATCATTAGCACCACCATATAACCAACTGAGCTATCCAGGCACTATGTGCAAATACCAATGTGATTGACCAATAACTAATCTTTTATAGAGGAGTACATAGGCGCCGACTCCATGGGGCCTGAGGGGGCCCGAGCCCCCTCAAAAATTCGTTTGGGGGGCTCTGCCCCCCCAATAATTTAAGAAAATTATTAGTTCGGCCTCATTACGCCCCCCCCCGGCGATTCTCTGCCAGCCGCTTCATTCCGCTTCCACGCGCCTCGGATAGAAGGTGACGCGCGCCGCTACCTTCTGTTGCCTCCGTCACCATTTATGGGGAAAAGCAGGAGGAGGAGACCGGAGGCGCCCAAAATAAAACTGTAACGGCATTCAGCACTCCGCCTCCCCGGTGGGATCCCGCACGGGCGGCCGGGCAAACGACAAGCCGAGGGAGAAAGTCTGCCTTTCAGCCCCGGCTGACTGACAACTTCCCGGGGCAGGACCCCGGTATGGGCCCCCCCAATAT